GCCGAACATAGCCCACAGTAGGCAGTCTAAAAATAAACACGATAGACCGTACGCTATTCTTTGCCAATATTATGTGATCCCCGGAGCAATTCAGCGGAGTGCTCAAGTGAATTGTGATTGGTTCATTGTCTTTCTTAAAAGTAGAGATAGTTTCCTGGATGTAATAAATAGTTTGTGCATTTTGCTGATTTTTGTTGTTGTTGTTGTGTTTTTTTCTTGATTGATTTCGTTCGCGTTTTTGTTTTTTTTTTTTGTTTTTTGTAAATCGTTTGTTGTTGGGGGTTTTTTTTGGCTTTTTTTTTGTTTGTTTGTTTGTTGTTGTTGTTGTTTTTGGGGGTTTTTTTGGGGGGGGAGTGGTAGCTCTCTCGTAAAATTATAAAAACTGCATTAAATAATATACTGTCTTTTTTTCAAACGACGGCAGTTTTTGCGTTCTGATGGAGCCACAATTAATGACAGTTTCAAATTGCTCTGCGGCATCCCCCATAGAAAATATTGTGCGCTACCAGTGTTTGTACAGTTGCCTGTCTTTAGAATAAACTCTTGTCTCTTTTAGGTACAGCATTATCATGATATTGTGAGCACAGTCACGTGAATGCCTTCGGGTTGTTGTAGGGTTAATGCCTCACAGACACTGTTTAGATCAATAACCATGCCTGCCAGAGGCATCATACAGTGTGAGTGGGATTATCACCAACAAACATGTACTTTCGGAGATACTCTGTAAGCACCCCTCGTGACCATCGAACGGCATCCTTTGTGGGTGAGACTTAGAGCCTAACCATTGCACCACAGATACATGTTTGCGTAAGAGGGTGTCATATGAAGCGGACCTCAACTTTACACTATGTTTCCAGACATGACTATACGCCTAAAGGATATTATTTATAATTGTTAGTTTTGGTTTCCTCGTTCTAGAGGAGAAAAAGACAAAACGGAAACAATTTGCAAAGTCGAAAATAGTACCAATTCGCAAAAACAACCAAGTAAAGAAAACCACACACACACACACACACACACACACACACACAC